AAGTGTTCTAGATTCCCAAACCCACCAAACTTCTGCGCTGTGCTTCTTCGTCGAAGGAGCCACGGAAAAAGATTGGATGATGCTTGTAGCCTGTGCGCTCGTCTCCGAGGAAAGCTGTCCATATATTTTATCTCCCTCCCAACTTGACTTTGGCGAAGGATTCTTTAATCGCCCCCAGCCATTGCAAGCTAAAATCTAAAATTTAGATCTCCAATTTGTGTACCTGGCTCTGTCACGAGGGGGACAGCATTGTTTCTGGCAAAAAGAGAGGCCGCGCTAGCGACGTTGGACCCCGCACAAGCAACAAAACACGCGATGCCAGCGCTCCGGGGATAAAAGAAATCGCCTGCCTCCAAAATCCACAGCCGGAGCGTCAGCATTTATGCGCGGTAGCCCGAGAATGCGGGCAGGAAGACGTACCGGATGAAATCCCCGCGCCGCCGCCGACGCCGCCACCGCCGCCGCGCCGCGGAATGTAGAGCGCCTCGCCGCTCCCGATTCCAAGAGCTAGCACCGGGGCGTCGGATCGAGCTCGCTGGCGCTCGCCATTCCCAAACCCTTCTCGAACAAGGAATAGCGCGCACAAAACTTCACTACCTAGAATACGTTCAAGTGTGGATAGATCCTAATCCCACCGCCCGATGGAGCGCGATTACGTAACGGAATGTGTCTCCCGCCGTCCACGTGGCGGGATCGTAGCGGTCACTTTGGCGGGCCAGAAAAGGTAGGAAAAAACGAAAGAGCTACCGTACACTATCGGATTTATCCGAGGCGCGGATAAATCCGAGCAGCGCGACAAAGAACGAACGTCCTTTTCATAATTTTTTCTTTGGGCTGTGGACAAATAATTTACCTAGTTCCTCACGCTCTTTTCTCTCCTTTCCAATAATCGAGCTTAAAGCTCTCGCTGCAAGTTCAAAGCTCTCAAAGTCTTCTAGCAAAAAGAAAGAAGGAACAAAGAAAAGAAATGGAAGCACTGACCTTGAGCTGGATTCTAGCAATGGCTGCTTTGTGTGTTTTCCTGGCGCTCGTCTGGAGATTAATGCTGCCACCATTCATGAATTTGCCACCGGGACGAATGGGCTGGCCTCTCGTCGGCGAGACTCTAGAGTATCTCGCAACCAGGCCGATCGGAGTGCCTCAGCCTTTTATTGCGAAAAGAGTCGCACGGTCTGTTGCTGGATTTGAGGAACTTTGTTCTTTAGCGTCCTGAAAAGAGGAAAGCTTTGTCTTGCAGGTACGGGAGTATCTTCAAGACGCACCTGTTCGGGTGTCCCACGATCGTGACGACTGATCCGGACTTTAACAGGTTTGTCCTCGCCAACGAAGGGAAATTGTTCCAGAGCTCCTATCCCGCTGGCGTTGATCGCGTCCTCGGCAAGTTCTCGATGGTGCAGGCCAGCGGCGAGCTCCACAAGAGGATGCGAGCTTTGACGGTGAGCTTCATGCAAGCCCAGAGCCTCAAGGACAATTTCCTGCAAACAATTCAAGCGCGAGTGATCAGTCTCTTGTCAACTTGGGAGGGACGAGTTGTTAAGATCCAGGACGAAGCACAATCGGTAAGAATGAAGAGAAGGATCCAGGCTTTGACGATCGCTTGCTCTGTGATCAGCTGTCATTCGACTGTATTGTTGGTCACGTCCTGGGCATGGATCCTGGAGCAGAGAACACAAAAACCATAAAGGAGGACTTTTTCAACTTGGTGTACGGCTTGACAATACCTTTGAGAATCCCGGGAACTCGGTACTGGACAGCCATGAAGGTTCAGTTGGATCCTGTTGAATGAAGAATCTTGTACTATTTTGGAGTGACAGGGACGGCAAAACATCGTGAGGCTCGTCGAGCAAATGGTCGCGGAGAGAACGACAAAGCCTTGCACAGCTCGCAAAGATTTCCTTCAACAATTGCTACAGGATGACAATGGAAAGAATCTCACCTTGGAACAGATAAGCGACTTCATCGTGTTCATGCTCTTTGCAGCACACGATACAACAGCGACAGCAATGACCATGGCGATCAAATACCTTCTGGCTAATCCACAAGCGCTAAATCAGCTGCAGGTACGCTGCTCATATTTAGCATCAATATCCTGCAAACCATACATTTAGGAAGAACATCTTGAGATTCGAAGGAACAAAAGGAGTCCAGACGAACCACTAGAATGGAATGATTACCTTCAAATGACCTTCACTCAACACGTAAGTCGCACAGTCCGAAGCTGTTTTTAACTGTAGAGATTAGCAGGTTATAAACGAGACACTGAGGCTCACTAACGTGCTAACATCTGCCCATAGGATAGCTCTGCAAGACGTTCAAACTGAAGGTGAGAGCCCAGACAGAATATAAATTTGGTCTTACTTCCTGAGCGTGAAACTTCATAGAAGGATATGTGATACCGAAGGGCTGGAAAGTGGTTTCCAGTTGGACCACGATACATCTCAATCCAAAACTTTACGCAGAACCATTAGAGTTCAACCCCTGGCGCTGGAAGGTAAACACAAAACTTAACCTGAAGCAGGCTCATAACTTTGCTGCAGACTCAAAGCGTTAAGTACTTCACTCCTTTTAGTGGCGGCCCAAGATTTTGTACCGGATCTGAGCTAGCTAGACTGGAGATCGCGCTTTTGCTGCATTTTATCCTAACCAAATACTCGTAAGAAACAGGAAAACTACATTTAAGAAACGCTAACAAACCTGCTCTTTTCTAGGTTGCACCCTGCTGAAGACGACGAAGCTGTTTATTTTGGAACTGTGAAAATGCGGAAAGGTCTCCCTGTTACTGTCACCAAACTCTCACAGATTCTATAGCTTTCTACAAAAAAAACCGAGCGATAGTTAGTGTCAAAGCAAAATGAAACCACACTTACACATCAGATTAGACTTCTTCGGACAAATAATAAGAGACGTTAGCATGTTAAAACGCGTAGAAAAGAAACTAGCGACAGTGCTTCATGGCTATAACTTGAACGTCAACCAAATTAAAACTTGCTCAAAACTTGTAAGGAACCCAAGCTTGGATTCTCAAGACAAAAAATCTCTCTTGCTGGGAGAACTGAGAGACGACCCTGGTTTCTTGTGAATTTACAAGAACTAGAAACCAAAAGAACCTGGAAAGGAAGCGTCAGTCCTCATCGTCAATTGCCAAGTTCAAGGTGTGCATCCTAAAGCCTGCTTTTTCCATTGTATCTACGATCTCCGACGCAACATTTGTTGCCTGGATGATTGTCTTCTTAGTGAGCTGAAAATGGAGGGTTGGGAACCCGGTGAGGCTTTCGAGCGATATAAAAAACAAAAAAAGAGAGAAGAAGCCCCGCTTACCGAAATGGACGTCAAACCTTCGAATGTAGTTATCCTCACATCACTAACGTCTTCCATTGCCTGGCACGAGAAGAGAAAAATATAAGCAAAGATTGTAAATGGAGATCGAAGATGGCATACCTCTAAAGAGCTTTGGACGATTGGAATCGATACGTCGGGCATGGAGCCTTCGGCCTGTGTGCCACAAGACACCTCTCGTGAAAACTTTAAGAACAAACTCTACAAACCTTGAGCATCATGACGAGCTTCTCTGCTTCCGTTTGTTCTTCTTGCGCTGCTCCCCCAGACTCCTCTTCTTTCGCTGTCTCTGGCTCAACCTACATTCGCCAGGATCTTCAAACAATCCAGGCCTCACGCCACAAAGTGAAAAGATCTGACCTGTGAATCGTCCGCGGCCGCCACAGACGCATCCGAATCGACCGCCGCCTCTGTGGATTCAGCGAAGACGCGAAAGATCCTCCAATGCGGCGTCGGTCCTCTGGGCGCGCGCATCCGCCATTGCTGATGGAGATGAGACTGATGATGCCGGAGAGACAAGCAGGCGCCGCTAACACACCCTAGGGTTTGGACCTGGCAAGAAGAAGCGGGAGAAGGCGCAAGGAGAGGACGAGGCACTAGAGCGGCCGCCATAGCCGGGGAAAATGTGTAGCCGGGGAAAATGCTTGCTCTAAAATCTGCCACGTGGAACCTCTAACCTAAACCCATATTCAATTTTCAAAAACCGCATATTCCATGCCCGGGAAAAACCACGCTTTGTTTATTAGCATCGCTGTACGCCGCGAGAACAGTGCCTTGGGAAATGGAGATGGTGAATATAAGTCCATGGATACATGATCATAGATTTCCATGCGAAAGCTTGAGAGAGCTTGAGACTTACCGATCAAGAAGCCTTTGATTTTGCTTTGGAGATATCTCTTCCATAAAGACCAGCGATCCCAGCTGCCGGATCATTTTGTTTTACCAGAGATTCGCCAACCAAAACCTGAGAAGAAAAGTCTGAGAATCAATACAAGAAAAGCTATCTAGCTATGGTACGCACCGCGCGGACTCCAGCTTTTTGAACGACTGCTATGTCTTCTGGAGTGAAGAGCCCGGATTCTCCCACCACCTAGCACAGAGAAAGGTTTTGTAGATGTTTTCTGTGAGAATTCCCAAGCATTCCCAAGGAAATAGACTAACCATGATTCCCAAAGCATGGATTATATCCATCCTTGCGGTGGTGAGGAGCTTCACGGTGTTGTTAATGTCCACTTTGAAAGTTTCTGCGTGTTTCTTCCCTCACAGTTAGATTGCTGGCAACTCGAATCACGCTTACCAAGATTTCTATTGTTGATACCAATGAGCTCTATTCCAGGTAGCTCCAAAACACGGTCCATCTCTGTTCCATTGTGAACCTAGAAAAAACCCGAGTGAAGATCCAGGTGTGAGCCAGCTTTCTCACCTCAACCAGAGCCGACATGCCGTTTTGTTTCACAACTCTCATCAAGGAACGTAACTCGTCGTCGGTTAAGACAGACGCGATCAAAAGAACCGCGTCGGCTCCCTTTGCACGAGCGTAATATATTTGCCATGGATCAATGATAAACTCCTTACACAGCAGGGGACACTACAAGGAAAATTATCAGCAAACAAAAATAAAAAAACGCTCAAAGTCAAGTAGTATTTCTTGCCTGAACTTGAGCTGCCCGAATCAAGCTTAAGTTCTCGAAGCTCCCCTGAAAATCTCAATATAAATCTCATGTTAAGAAAATCATAAACGCTAGCATGCCTGGAAATATTTTGAATCCGTGAGCACGCTCAAGCAAGAAGCTCCGCCATTCTCGTATGCCTTTGCAATACGAACCTGAAACAAGAAGAGAACTTGATACTTCAGAAACGAGAAAATGAAGAAAAAATCCGCCAAGTAAACTATACCGGATCAAAGTCGGGTTGAATCACCCCTCGACTTGGAGAAGCCTTCTTCACCTCAGCAATCAACGCCGGGAGTCCAGTTTCCGCTGCTCGATCTTTCAAGACTTTCACAAAGTCTCGAGCCGGTCCATCGATCGGAGGAAGCTTTTGTTTCATCTCATACAATGGCAGCTTTTTCTTCATCTGCAAAGGAAAAATCTAGTGTGATCCATCCACAAAAGAATAAGAGAAAGAAAAACAACTTGCCTCGGCAACCTCTGTCTCTTTGTACCAAATAATCTCTTCCAGAATGTTGCGCGGCTTCTCATCTCCATCCTTGAGCACGTAGCCGCTGGGAGCAAGCCTGCGAATCGAAATGCGCTGCCTCGCTAAATCCCTTTGCTTCTGCTCGAAAGCCGACCACGCATCGCTGCTTCTCTACAAGACAAATCCATCAATAGATAGAAAAAATGTAGGCGCCCGGGCCTCGACCGATCGATTATTCGGCTTACCACGCAGCTGATCCGCAATCTTGGACGGACGCCATGGATCCAGTCGAGGCGATTGGCACTGGCGCTCTCTTTGAATCCTAAGCAAGCCATAAACCCTACGAGGATATTCTAAGAGGATGACTTGACTCTTGTTGACTCTCTCGTCCGTCAACGGTCAAGCGTCTCCCGGACGATATTGCCGTGTAGACGAGGGTTCGATCATAGGCCTCTGGGCTCCAGGCAAGGTAGGCTATTTCTTCCGCAACGATCATTCTTTTGCGACGATCGTCTTGTGTAGATCCGCGGCTGGGCTGCATTTCAGCGTAATCCGCTGGATCGGCAGGGAAATATGAGGATTTTCAAGCTCGCGGCCACTCTCCTGCCGGGACTGTTCGCGGTGATCCTCGCGTTTTCTCTTCCGGGCGCCGCGGAAATCTTCTTTGAGGAGCGATTCGACGGTATGGCAGCAGCATTGCTCGAAATGTTTCATAGATTTTGGTGAATCCCTTATTCTCCTCGCTGACCCTGACACACTGTGTGTGGCGTGGTCTCGTGTGTGTTCTTCCAGATGGATGGGAGCATAGCTGGGTGCAATCCGATTGGAAGCGCTCGGATGGTCTAGCCGGGAACTGGCGGCACACGGCCGGGAAATGGCACGGTGATCCTGATGACAAGGGTACGCATTCTTCCATGTAAGCTTGCGCTTGATCTAAGGGTGGTGATATTTCCGTTTGGTTTTCACAGGTATCCAGACATATCCAGATTCTCGTTACTTCGCTATCTCGGCTCAGTTCCCGGTGCTCAATACGAAAGGAAAGACGCTTGTGATTCAGTACTCCGTCAAGCACGAACAAAAGATCGAGTGTGGCGGGGGATACATCAAGTTGCTCAGTGGCTACATGAATCAAAAGCGATTTAGTGGAGATACACCTTACAGGTTGAGATTATAGAGTTGAATTCCTCTCTAACGTTTTTCTCTCTTCCTTTTTCTTTGCAGCATAATGTTTGGTCCCGACATTTGTGGAACTCAAACAAAGAAGATCCACACGATTTTGCAGTATAAGAGCCAGAACTATCCGATTCGGAAGGAAGTTCCTTGCGAGACGGACCAGCTCACTCACGTTTATACGTTGATAATTCGTCCAGACGCGACTTACAGCATCCTCGTCGACAACAGAGAGAGGGATTCGGGCAGTCTCTATACCGACTGGGATATGCTACCTCCAAAGCGGATCAAAGATCCAAACGCTAAAAAGGTTGGTGTGACTTTCGTTTTTAAATTTGTTACGCTTTGCTCTTTGCATTTTTTCAGCCTGCCGATTGGGAGGATAAAGAGTATCTTGTGGATCCAGATGACAAAAAGCCAGAGGTATTTATTCTTCTTCTCGCGATCTTGAGAATATATGCTTGGTTGTAATGCAGGGGTACGACTCCATTCCAGCAGAAATTCCAGACCCAGACTCGACAAAGGTTTTAATTTCCTTGCAATTCTTTTTTTGATCCTTGTCTTTTGGTTTCAACAGCCTGACAACTGGGATGAAGATGAACATGGAGTGTGGAAAGTACCAAACGTGCCTAATCCTGCTTATAGAGGACCATGGAAACCGAAGGTATTATCTTTCTTTTTCCCCCTGAAATGCGTTTATTGAAGCCATTCATTTCAGAAAATAAAAAATCCCAACTATAAAGGAAAATGGTCGCCATGGGCTGACAATCCAGGTATTCTCTCGTCTTGACTTTATTGTTCTTATTGCTGTTCATTCGGCAGAATTTGAGGACGATCCCGACTTGTATGTGTTTCCGAATCTCAAGTACATCGGTATAGAACTTTGGCAGGTAAAAGCACAATTATCTCATTTAACGAAGGAACGCTAAGCGCATTGACAGGTGAAATCCGGAACTCTCTTCGACAATATCCTTGTATGTGATGATCCTGAATATGCCCGATCGGTGGCAGAAGCTACGTGGGGTGCCAACAAGGATGTAAGTTATCACACTCATGATTCTCCTTAAACTTGCTGCATTTTGCAGTTGGAGAAAGAGGCTTTTGATGAATCTGAGAAGCGGAGACAGGAACAAGAGGAGGTACAGACTTTTGCATCATCGTAGATGACGGTTTTACATCGTGAATCTAGAAAGAGGCGGCGGCGCACAGAGCTGAAAGGGACCGTAGAAGATCGAGACACGACGACGACTACCACTACAGGCGCAAGGAGCGCATGAGGGATCGGATGAGAAGAAGACATCGACTGGTTCGTAGTGATTCTTTTCCTTTCCGTGTGGTGCTCTACATTTACACGTCGTGGTTTTGCTTTTTTCCATTTCCTGGCCGCAGGATGATGACGACGATGATTATCATGTGAGCATCTTCTTTTTTGCAAAAGGCTCCTATTCAACCTTGCTAACGCTGTTGTCACTTCGTGCAGGATGAACTGTAAGAGGCTGGCCGGCACTTTCCTCTTTTCAGAGGTGCTGGTTTGAAATATACTTGGAGAATGAATGGACACGGGATGGGTGAATGGACAGACCATCGCGAAGTTGAGCTTTTCATTACTCTCGTCCCACTCCTCCAACATCTACGTCGTTGTGATGCAAGCCAAAGCCGCGCCTTGGTGAGCAAGAGTGACGTCTCAACCCCGAAGTAAACGCGCTGTGAGCTTTCCACACTTAGGCGTGATGCTGAGGCACTAACTGTTACATTTTTCTAGGAGGCGTCGCTGTCGATGCCACGATTGGATGCTCCTCTGTGAGCCTTACGGAAGCGGCCGCGGGATAAGAGAGATTGGTTTTTCCAAACTCACGCAAAGATTTAAACCGGTGCGTTTCCTTCCCTTTCAGAGCTTTTGTCTTTAAGTTTCGAGACAGGGATTGTTTTGTTTTAATGCTTCGATGCGTCAGTTTGATCCGCTGCTGGCCTAGCAACCTTGCAAGCAAGCAACAGTGCTTGTTTCTTCCCTTGTTCGTCGTGTTTGGTGACTCGAAGAAGAGAGAAAAAAAGAAAAACTTGGCTCTCTGGGCTTGTATGCTTGTGGCTTTGCTTGCTCGGTTGGGTTCGTAGGTAGCTGTATGGTTGAAGCATTCATTGTTTTGAGTTTAAAGTCTTCTCTTTGTGGATTCCTTTCGTGGCGAGATATAGTCTCGAAGCTCTCGGTGGACGCAAAAACTATAAACTATGGAGAAATCTCTAAAGAACAGTGTGCTTGATACTCCTTGGTTTGTGCCGGATTGAAAAGATTGGAATTTGGCTTGCTTTGCTTGGAAGTGGTGGTGGTGCTTGTGTCCATTGATTGCTACGGGGGAGAGCATTGCATTGTTGCCGCGAATAATTGCCTGGAGTGGAAAAGTCTAAAGCTTCTCTCGTGGACGGCTGGGATCTCTTGCCGCCTATCCGACGGTAACAATCGCGAGCTCTATTTTACGGCAGTTTTGAGGTTAACTATTACGGGCATATTCTATTTTATTTTCTTTTGGTGTTGGCGTACGAAGGCTCGGGTTTAACAATGTATGGGTGGGAATAAAAGAATGAAAGACGCCAAAAAAGAAGGTGAGAGAGAAGAGGAGCGTCTCGAGTGATCCGGCCAGGGCACCGCGCGAGGGATTGGATGGAGTGGAGCTCGGCTATGGCGCTGCGCTAGCGCTGGTTGGGGACATCGTCGCCGGTGAAATACGATTCTAGGTCTCCTCCTCTCTCTCTCCCTCCCTCCCTTTGCTCGTAATCGCCTGTCGCGGAAGATTCAAGGAAGATTTTCCGTCCGCCGCCAGTACGAAAGATTTGATGCATCGGTGTGGCAAATGTGAGGGATCGTCTCAGTCTACACGGCAGGGATGATGGAAGCTCACGGATTGCGCGTGGAGGATCTTGTCGGCTAGAGGTAAAATCACCTTTGTGTTTTTCTTTTTCTCGTTTTTTTTTTTTTTTTTCCTTCTTTGATGATCTCGCGTTTGTTTCAGGAGCTACAATTCCCTTGAGTTAGAACCCGAAAGAATGGAGAGGTCAAGGCAGCAAAGGCGATGGAATACAGGGCAATTGATGAAGAGCTTGGATGAATCGCAATTACCAAGGTCTGTAGAGCCCAGTAGTAGCCATGGGAGGAACCTCGCATCAAGGCTGGGAATGACGGAGGTCTCGTGCTTTCCCAGCTCCCGATCAAGACGAGCATCCAACAGGATGGAGTTTCTTAGAGACAACACAGCGGGGTCATCGAACTCACGGAGGAGGATGGAAACGGGCAAGATAAACTCCGAGCGGGGGAAAGGAATTCGCATCATAAACAACGAACTGGCCCGTGAAAGAGAAGATCACGCGGCCGCCAGCCTTTCCGACGAGGACGAGCAAGTCTTTGATCTGTCGCTGCTGGAAGGAGCCTCCTACCCGAACGTTTTGGGGGCAGGGACGAGCATGAGAAGCTTGAGTTGCAAGCGAAAGAGCTCTTCGTTTGTTCGCGGCAGCACAAGCACTGGAAGTGGCGGCTCCGGCAAGGCAAAGATGGCGGAAGAGCAAGCTCTAAGAAACCAAAGAGGACTTCATAACTTGCGAAGGTCGTCAACTTCGATAGACGGGCAGAGGCTAAAGGTTTCCAGGAGGAATGCCGATGCTCCAGAAGGCGGGGCCTCCTCTTCCTCGTCGCCACTGCGTTTGTCAAGAGACTCAACCGCGCCGGACCACGATCGGTTACTAAGTTCCGCGAGCTCACTCACAAGAAGGCCGGCTGGTGGCACTGTCGACACGCGTGGCCGGAGTCGTAATTATGATCCAAGCAGCTCGGCCGAAACGGTCCCGAGGAGCGTGAGGAGTGCGCTGCATCCTCCGGAACGATCGACATTTGCGAGAAGGGATTCCAGAGAAACGCCGGAATCGAGCAGCCAGGCCTTTACAAAACGGAACATCTCGAACTGTTTTGGAAGCGGTCGAAGATCGCCATCTCCGAGGCCGATTGGTGGCCATGAGAGAGGCTCCCGCCACCTTGCTGCTTCGAGCTCGAATCCAGTGCAAGCTCCGCCATCCTCGTTGCTCTCGGCGGCACTGGAAGCAGCGGCGACGCCCTCGTCCTCGAGCTCGTTTCGCCAACAAGGTGGCCAAGTTTCCTCGAGCGGTGACAACAATCAGTGGTCGACACCAACAATGGCTTCTGGGTGGGAGTACCATCGTCCCCGGCTCATGGCGGAAGGCCTCGCGAAGGTAAAAAAGAGAAAGCTTCCTCTGTTGATCACTTCTTCGGGAACTTGCTATCCAGATCCTATTGGCGTTGGAGCGGGTTGAAAACGACGAGGAGTTGACGCATGAGGTGAGGGAAAGCTGTTTTTGGCAGTCTAGGTTCTATAGGCCTAAGATGATTTTTTGCAGCAGCTGTTGATGCTGGAAGCCACCGTCTTGTTTGGCGGGATGGCGGTCCACGATCGCCACAGCGACTGGAGGATGGACGTCGATAACATGACCTACGAAGTAAGCTCCGAGTTTTCACAAAAAGGAAGTTCTAAACTGGAAGAAACTCGGCTCGCAGGAGCTCCTCGCTCTCGAAGAGAAGATGGGAAACGTAAGCATTGGAGTGAGCGAGGAGAGGATAGCGCATGGATTGCAAAAGTGTCGATTCAGTACGCTGTTTGCCGGGTGCGGGCAGGATGGGGAGCTCAAGTGTAGCATTTGCCAGGTGAAAAAAACTGCGATTCTGGAACAGGAGATCTAAACGTTTGGCTCTCGCTTCCAGGAGGAGTATCGCAATGGCGAGCAGCTGGGGCGGATCGAGTGTGGTCACAAGTTCCACATCGGTTGTATCAAGCAGTGGCTTGGACATAAGAACTTATGCCCGATCTGCAAGGCCACAGCAGTGTCGTGATTTCGCGCACGTCAACTTGTGAGTTTCACGTCCTTGTTCTTTCATTCCACACACATCCTAGTTTTTAGAAAGAATAAACTCTAGACTTTTCTTTCAATGGCATTTTAAAGCAGGAATTCTCGAGACTATCTTTGTTTTCCGAAGTCAATAATAGACTTTAAAGGTGAGAGAAACTCCTGGAAACTACGCAGGCTTCGTTTCGCCATCCAGAGAAATATCTTCGTTTCATTGGGCCGTCCAGAGAAATATCTTTGCAGGAGCTTCTCGAGAGGATGGGGGTGGTGAGCACTGGATTGAGCGAAAAATCGATAGCTCGTAGCTTACTAAAGTGTGGAAGTTCTCGGGATGGCGAGCACAAGTGTAGCATCTGCCAGGTAAAGAACTTTGACTAAGAGTTTGAGGCATTGTTTTCCAGGAGGACTTTTGGAATGGCGAGGATCTGGGCGAGATCGATTGCGGTCACAAGTTCCACGTAAACTGTATCAAGCAGTGGCTTGTACGCAAGAACTTCTGCCCAATCTGCAAAGTCACAGCAATGTGACAAGAGAAAGTTGGTGGGATCCAAGCGTTATGCTAGTAGTCTTTCCATTTCGCTTTCATGGATCGCTCAGGACCAACGGTGGCGATTTGCCCACGCGAGGAAACTTCTAAAGATTCGAATCAAGCGTCCAGGCAAGTTGGAGCGTATGGTCTACGTAGGGAGTGGGTACGAATACGTAGACGTGGCGAGAGATCCATCGCTCGCGCGTGACCGCGAGAGCGAGAGATCACTCGTCCTCCACGCAAGTCGCGAGACGCCAGGCGCAAATAATGGCTGTGTCAGGCGGGCACGACACAGTAGAATCTCCCCCTCCGAAACAATCCAAGCATTGTGGAAGAACCATAGCCACCCTTTGAGTTAGCTTAAGAAACACCCATATAATCTCTTCCTCTCCCCGAGAGCTTTCTTCTTTGTAGATCTTGGAGCGCGAGCGAGAGAGCGATTACTTCTTCTTCTCGATCGTCTTCTTCTTTGCGATCGTTTCTTGGCAATGGAGATCCACTCGCGGATGTGCGTGGCCAAGTCCGTCCCCGCCACCGCCCCTCCGCTGGTCCTCCTCACGCCGCTCGACCTCTTCCACACCAGCCAGATGCCCATCGTCCTCTTCTACGAGAACGCCCCCGCCGGAGCAGCCGCGCGCATCGAGTCGGGGCTCGCAACCGTGCTGGATCACTTCCCGGAGCTGGCGGGGCGGATCGGGCGCGACGAGCTGGGCCGCCACTGCATCCATCTCAACAACGAAGGCGCGATCTTCGTCGAGGCGGTGTGCTCCTCCGAGCTGGCTCCCTTCCTGGACAAGCGCGGCAACGACGTCAAGGATCTCGTCGGCTCGTCGACGCTGGAGCTGGGCGATGGGATGAACCGCGTGCCGCTCATCATCCAGGTGACGCGCTTCGCTTGCGGGGGGCTGGCCCTCAGCTGGGAGGGACACCACCGCGTGTGCGATGGCTCCGCCCACACGCAGTTCTTGCTCAACTGGGCATCTGCTGCAAGAACCGGATCCCTCACTCCAGGATTCGTCCCGCTCATCCACGACCGATCTTTCTTGTCTCCCAGAGATCCCCCGGTCGTGGAGGATCCACTAGTGGAGTTCGTCCACAAGCCCATGTCGCGCACCACCGTCCCGGGGCAAGAGGTCCTCACTCTCACGGAAAACTTGACGAGCAAGCAGATCTCCCACCTCAAATCTCTCTGCGGGAACAAATACACCACCTACGAGACTTTGAGCGCGCACTTCTGGAGGTGCATGACCGCGGCCAGGGACTTCGAAGACCGGAGCACTCTGGTCGGGCATTTTTGTCCCGCGAATGGTCGTTCCATCCTCAATGCCCCGCCCGGGTTTTTTGGCAACGCCATTTACCACACCTTCGTGCAGACGAGCGCCGCGGATCTGCTGGATGGATCACTGGAGCACGCCGCGGGGCTCATCCGGCAGGCCGTCAAGCGCGCCAGCAACCGGGTGTTTCTCGAGTCGGTGATTGACTACCTTGCGCTGGAGCAGGCGGGCGAGGATGATCGGCCGCCGCAGGCCGAGGCCAAGGACCAGAGCTGGATCCCGAATGTCATGATCCCGTGCTGGTCGAGGTTTCCGCTGTATGAGGTTGACTTTGGGTTTGGCGATCCGTTCCGGTTCTCCACCGTGAATGTGGGGATCGAGGGGGTGTTCACGATTGGGCCGCCGCGCAAGGACGGGATCACGGAGGTGCTCATCAATGTGCGCAAGGAGCACGCCCAGAGCCTGCTCGCTCACCTCGGCAACTAAGCGGACTCTCTCGCTCTTGAGTCTTGCTTGTATCATGTATTGTTTTCTTTCATTTTGATCGTCTTTATGTTATTATTATTATTATTATTCTTGTTCTTGTTCTTGTTTTTGTTCTTGTTCTTGTGTTCTTGTTCTTGTTCTTGTTCTATTTGTTACTCAGTAATAAGAAAATGATCTTGACGTACGGAGCCCAGGCACTGCGAAACGATGTGAACACAACAGGAATGAATGATACGTGAGAGGTCAAGCAAGTAACGTATGGGCCACTGCCGGAACTTTTACTTTTTTAACAACGCGCAGCAGGCAACGTCTCCAGGAAAGCTGGAAGCATTGATTTGTTTATTTGATTTGTGTCAGACGGATCACGAGATCGCTTTCCAAGTAACATTGATTCGAATGCGTGTTGGTTTGTCCAAATGCCACCACCAGGCATCAGTTTGGCTGCTGACAAAAAGTCTTCATTCATGCCTTCCATCAGATACAACAACATTTAGCGCTATAATATTTTTCTATAAAATCGGGATCGTTTGAGAGCAACAGCGTTCCAACCAGCCAGGTGCGCTCTTTGTTTTCTGGCCTTCAATTGATTCCGTGAACATGGCCTAGTCTATAGTGTTGCATCATTTCTTGAAAACGAGTTTTAGGTCTTGCAATAATACCTTTGGGACCCCCGATGATCGCTTTCTATTTCCTCGCACTGGAGGTGGAGACTTTGTGGTATGATAGTGTGGGGCGATGTCCATCCTCAAGTAGTTACCGAGGAAGTAGGATTTCCAAATCAGAGATAGCTCAAACTTGCGTGATAGTTTCATGGGCTGCGTGGCAACAAGAGAGCCACAGCAGTATCGTGAAAGCAATGCAAGCTCCAATTACTCGCAAACCCTAAGAACATTTGTTAAAAGTATCTTGGAATCGAGGGAAAACGATGGCTCCCACCAAGCAGCGCCACCACACCGTAGTGCTGGTGCCGGCGACTGGATTCGGGCACCTCAACCCGGCGCTAGAGCTCGCCCGGCAGCTCGCCCACCGGGCAGTCGAGGTAACTATCATTGTCTTCCACGAGCACCTCCCCGTCGCCCAACGCCGGGTGCTCAAGTCCCCCGGTTTCGACACCGCTCGCGCCAGCATCCGCCTCGTCCCATTCCCGGAGCCACTGCGCGGCGACAACCCCTCGCAGCCCATCGCGGCGCTGACCCAGGTGATCCGGGAGGAGTTCAAGCTAGATCTAGATCAAGCAGCAGTCCCAGCAGAGAATGGGAAGGTCACGAAGCCCAGCCTCCTCATCTCGGATTGCTTCGTCAAGTGCCAGGACACCGCCGACGAGCTCCATATTCCACGGGTGGTGTTCTGGACCGCCGCCACTCTGAGCGAGAGCATCTTCGCCAGCGTCCCACTGCTCATATCCACGGGCCACATCCCAGTCCACAGTTAAGTCAACACTTCTCATTGACTAAAACTCGGGCCGTTGACTAACCTCGGCTTGCTTGCAGCGAGCCCACACAAGGACGAGATCGTCTCGGTCCTGCCCGGAATGCCGGTGCCGCTCGCCACCACCCGGCTACCACTCTGCTTCTACGGCGTCGACCACGATTTCTCTCCGTTCGCGATCGCTTGCTTCGAGAACTCATCGCGAGCGCAGGGATTCCTGGCCAATACCGTCGAGGAGATCGAGGCCGAGGTGGTGGCCGTCCAGCGCAGCCAGCTCCAGCGCTACTTCCCAGTCGGCCCCCTCATCCCGCCCGAGGTCCTTGAGGACGCGGTGGATCACCCGGTCATCCACTGGCTGGATGGAAAGCCACCGCTCTCGGTGCTCTACATCGCGTTTGGGACGGAATCCATCCTCCCGCTCCACCAGTTTGAGAAGCTGGTCGCCGGGCTGGAGTCGAGCAAGCGGGCGTTTGTGTGGAGCATGAGAAAGGTGGTACCCGAGGCCGAGGACGAGTTCTACGACTCGGTGAAGAGGAGGCTGGCTGGGCAGGGGCTTGTCGTGGATTGGGCTCCCCAGAGAGCTATCCTGGATCATCCATCCATCGGCGGCTTCTTTACGCACTGCGGGTGGAACTCGACGCTGGAGGCGCTGTGCGCTGGGGTGCCGACGCTGTGCTGGGCGTTTGGCGCAGAGCAAAACATGAACAGCCTGCTCATGACGCACAAGTGGGGGATCGGTGTGGAGGTCGGGCACGGGCCGGATTGCGACGTGAACGAGCGGGGTATTGCGGCGGCGATCGAGGGGCTACTGGCGGGGGAGGAGGGAGCCGCGATGAGGAAAAGGGCGATGGAGATGAAGGGAGTGGTGGCGGCGGCGATGGAGCCGGGAGGGTCGTCTTACGAGAGCATGAACGAATTCGTGAGGACCTTTTGTCCAATGTAAATTGAAGATGTTTATAATTATTAAGATCATTGACTGATCAAATGTTCGATGGAATTTAGAAGTGTACAGGAGGGAAACTAGGAAGAATTCTGCGAGGACAGCATCTACCTTGAACTCTCCAGTGAAGACATACAAGGGATCGATCGCTTTTAATTTCTTGACACCTCAATAGGACCGATCATCACCAAATAATGATTTTGTCTTTTGAGCAGATACTTGGAAGTATTGATGGATAGTGTGTAGCGTTTACCTGCTAGAACTCGACAAGTCAAAAAAAAAATGTTAGGAGTCGGTGAGCCTGCTTTGCTCGTTTTTAAAATACTGCGCTTATCATGCACTTTTCTTTTCTTTTCTTTTCTAAGTTCTTGGACTTAGCAGATCGTTTCATAGCCAGGTTTCTTGACCTCCAAAGCTACAGTTTTTGCCTGTTTTATCATTCTTATCGCCACAGCATAAAGATCCTTCACGATTGGAGGCTCTTCAACGTGATTCCTCACAGGAAGTACCACAGTGACATGTACATTCTCGATTTTCGTTTTGCTAGGGCCAAGCTGGCAGGCTGGCTTTACAACTACATTTTCCTCTCTCGAATTGCGTTTAAGGTGTGAAATCATTGTTAAGCTCACCATGGCAGCTGCTGGAAGAGCGCTGCCCAAGGCTAGTGGAATTCCGAAATGGTGTCTCAGAAAGAATTTTGACCAGACCACGATGATTAGATAAGATTATCAGCCTCCAGATCCCAAAACTCGAGCGATGGCGAGCCGACTAGCTATCTAAATTATAACTTACAAATAATATTATTGAGCTTTTGCAATGCGAAGCTTGAATAACAATATTACTGTGTTCACTTCTTAATTATCCTAAATATTAATAACATATTTTATGTGTATGAATATACATGTATTATATTACAAGTAAATATGAATCACATCTGAACTATTCAATTGGGACTGAATCTAGTTAAAACTCACATTAGTAGGTAAAGGGTTGGCAGAATCCTTCCTTATTTGTGTTCAAAATTGTTCTACTTTGTTTATTCCCTCATTCTTTCTATTAAATTTAGATTTTTTATTTTCATTCTTTTCTTATAACAAACTCTTAAAATATAAAACATTTATGTGTATTACATTGTAGCAACATTAGTATATACTATTTTAACTTATGATTTATCCAGCCAAGCTTAAATAATTTTGCAAGAAAAAAAGGTTTAGATCATTTTATATGTTAGAGAGCATTATGTTTAGTTTCTATGTTCAGCATAAAACACTTATAAATTAATAAAAAAATTATAAGAATACTTAAAATCTTGTTGATATTTTCCATATTGATGAAGGCATCTGATATTTTAGTTGTTAATTAATTTGGTAAATTTCTTGATTAGTTTATGCCTCTCAATACTGGCAATGATGTTCTGCATCAGAGAACTCACTGCTAAAATAAATAAATAAATAAAAGAAGCAATAAAGATTTTAACACTTGACACAAGGATGTCCTCACTAGAAAACTTCAGAATGCCTATTTAAGTAAGAATTCTTTTACTCCCAAATACAAATACTAAATTCTTATCTTTATCATAAGTTGTGAAGGGAGAAACATTTATAATTAAAGAAGAATTTTAAGATATATATCACTATGACCATTCAGTGATATAAATTATCTCAACTCCATCACAATCAAAGAGTAGCTCCAATATTGACAGTGTTGTGTGGACATTGTAGGCCATTTTTGTGCTATGAAAGGTACATTATATATAGCCATACTCTTGAAAACTAATTAGTTAAAAATTTAAATATGGTATTAGGGCTTTACAAATATAAAACATTTATATTCTTAGAATAGTTTCTAGGACCAGCCACGAGGCCTTTTTTCAGCCTTTGAATGTTGTGTTGCATTCAATCGATGGAAATGGTGAGACGTATGAATCAAGCAAAAGCACTCTGTCATGAAATGTCAGGTAAAAAAAAGGTGTTTTAGTATGCAATTCTTGCTGGTTTTGGTGGTAAATTCCATACTGCCAAGGTAAAATTCAAAACACCTACCTCAATTAAGTAGAGATTGGTCAAGCCAAAAATTTGTTTGATCTCCAGCTTGTTAACATGCCAGCCCAAGAAGGATCTAATAAATTGGAATCTAATGTTAGATAGCTCATGAGAAATGGTTGTAACTAACAAGCCATAAATCATTTCAACTCACTTAAGCTTGATATAGTGATTCCAAATAAGATTTTGTTTCTGGTGGTTTAGATCACATGTGGTAACATAAGACAACAATGTTGTCTCCGTCATAGTCCCAAATCAACAACTGCTAAAGGCAAAGAAACTGCTATGGAATAAGTAATTTTGAACTGATTAGTACTTCAAAGCTAAAAAGTGGCCACTAAGAATCTGGATCCTGACGAGTAGTTAACATATTGACTCTGTAGAAAAATAAATCTATCAAGCAACGTTTAAATCTAGAAATATCCCTGAGTACAGTTGCCAAGGTGAGTGAGCAAGCTCTGGGCGTGCTCCTTGCGCACATTGATGAGCACCTCCGTGATTCCCTCCTTGCGCGGTGGCCCAATCGTGAACGCCCCCTCAATCCCCATATTCACAGTGGAGAACCGGAATGGATTGCCAAACCCAAAGTCAACCTCATATAATGGAAACTTCGACCAGCACGGGATCATGACATTTGGGATCCAGCTCTGGTCCTTGGCCTCGGGCTGCGGCGGCTGGGCATCTTCACTCGCTTGCTCCAGCGCCAGGTAGTCGATCACCGACTCGAGGAACACACGGTTGCTGGCGCGCTTGACGGCCTGCCGGATGAGCCCCGCGGCGTGCTCCAGCGATCCATCCAGCAGATCCGCGGCGCTCGTCTGGACAAAAGTGAGGTAAATGGCGTTACCAAAAAACCCGGGCGGGGCATTGAGGATGGAACGACCATTCGCAGGACAAAAATGCCCGACCAGAGTGCTCCGGTCTTCGAAGTTCCTGGCTGCGGTCATGCACCTCCAGAAGTGCGCACTCAGTGTTTCGTAGGTGGTGTATTTGTTCCCGCAGAGAGATTTGAGGTGGGAGATCTGCTTGCTCGTCAGGTTTGACGTGAGAGTGAGGACCTCTTGCCCCGGGACGGTGGTGCGCGACATTTTCTTGTGGATGAACTTTACTAGTGGATCCTCCACGACCGGGGGATTTCTGGGAAACAAGAAAGATCGGTCGTGGATGAGCGGGACGAATCCTGGAGTGAGGGATCCGGTTCTTGCAGCATATGCCCAGTTGAGCAAGAACTGCGTGTGGGCGGAGCCATCGCACACGCGGTGGTGTCCCTCCCAGCTGAGGGCCAGCCCCCCGCAAGCGAAGCGCGTCACCTGGATGATGAGCGGCACGCGGTTCATCCCATCGCCCAGCTCCAGCGTCGACGAGCCGACGAGATCCTTGACGTCGTTCCCGCGCTTGTCCAGGAAGGGAGCCAGCTCCTCGGACGCGCATACCGCCTCGACGAAGATCGCGCCTTCGTTGTTGAGATGGATGCAGTGGCGGCCCAGCTCGTCGCGCCCGATCCGTCCAGCGAGCTCCGGGTAGTGATCCAGCACGGTTGCCAGCCCCGATTCGATGCGCGCCGCCGCCCCGGCGGGGGCGTTCTCGTAGAAGAGGACGATGGGCATCTGGCTGGTGTGGAAGAGGTCGAGCGGCGAGAGGAGCACCACGCGAGGGACGGAGGCGGGGACGTCGGACTTGGCCACGCACATCCGCGAGTGGATCTCCATCGCCAGGACGCAAAGAAGAAGAAGGAATCTCAAATATATATTTTTTAAAGGATCTTCCACAATGTTCGGAAAGATTCGCCTGACACGCCTGCCTTTAGCGTGGAGGAAGCGAGATCGCTCATTCTCCCCAGCCATGAATCTCTCGTCACGTCGACGTATTCGTGTCCGCGATTGGGATAGCTTACAACTTGGTGCTAGCAGGGACATTTCACAATTATTTCCACTGGTCGCAAAACTTTTGCCGTGGCAGCCAGGTAGTAATCACACACAAACCTCAGAGAGAGAAAAATCCCTGAGATTCATATTCGTTTCATGTTGTCCCGCAAATCGCCCTATCACAGGGTCCATGCGAAATGGAAAAGATTGTCTAGCATTCCATCAATTTCTGAATGCCACGATTGTTAGACTTTGCAGATTGGGCACTCCAAGCCACTGCTTGATACAATCTACGTGAGACTGCAATCGAACTCGCCCAGTTCTTCCTCCTTATTGCAAAATTCCCTCCAAGAAAACTCCGAGAAGAGATTACACTGGAGCTCGGCATCCCGTGCAAACATGCCACACTTTTGTAATCCATGAGCTAACGAACCCCATCCTCTCTTCAAGCGCGAGAAGCTCCTGAAAAGATTTCTCTCTTGTCGCACGAGAACTAATGCACATACCTCGTAAGTCATGTTGTCATTGCAGATCTGCTCTCCAGAGGATATGATCCACATCCTCTCTTCTTAACAAAGCATGTATCTATGGGCAAAGCAAATGATTCATTTGTGATCTTGCAAAATAATGGAACACGGACTTTTGAAAAAAAAAATGACTTCACTTTTTGACTGGCTGAGCACGAGCAGTCACCCAAAAGCGATGAGGATTATGTGGCTGATAAAAGAAACAAATTTGACTGGGGTCAGTCACTTCACTCGGTTGCAACCTAAACACGAAACTCGACTGAAGGGAGAATGTTGCTCACAATTCTCGTGCTTCTGTCACTGGCAGCTGCAAAAGAAGAAGATCGTGCAACGCTCTTGAGCTTCAAGAACCAGGTGAGCGATCCATTATCCACACTCGGTACCTGGAACACGAGTTCTGGTGTAGATTCGTGTCACTGGCATGGAGTCAATTGCTCCAGCTCGGGCCGGATCACTGGACTTGATCTTCAGTCACTATCACTGCCCAGGCCTGCTTTGCTCGATGCGATCCAAGACCTGTCCCATCTAGAGAAGCTCCACATCTCTCAGAGCAATTTCACCGGATCGTCCACCAACCGTTCGCTGCGAAGTTGCAACCTGGAAGCTCTCGACTTGTCTCGAAACAGTCTCACTGGCGATGATAATCTTCTGCTTGAGATCCTCGAGAGCTGCGGCGGGACGATCCGAGCTCTCAACCTTTCTTCCAACGAGCTCACTGGCGATAATATGCATGCCTTGCCCCTCTTCTCTCGGGAGAGTCTTGCAACTTGACGCTCTTGGACGTCTCAAACAACCGGCTCGTCGGCGAGTTTCCTAACAGGGTCCTCTCCACTTGCGTTGATCTTCGAGAGGTCTTCCTGTCCAGCAACAATCTCTCTCAGATCGTTTTCCCCGGCTGCAAAAACCTGATTAGTATCAACATCTCGTTCAACCAGATATCGGGAGAGTTATTCGCTCCCGAAAGCAGATGTACCTCACTGAAAGTTCTCGCTATCGCTCGCAACGCCTTCTCCGGGGATTTCTTCTCGCTGTTTGGAGCAAGCCAGCGCTCGCACAACTCCAGCTTGAGCACTTTCTTTCCCGTCGTTGAGAGGATCGATGCCGCCTACAACAAATTCACGGGTGAGGTTCCAGCGCATATTGGAGTGCTCACGAGGTACATGGATCTCAGCTCCAACAATCTCACCACCATAGGAAACCAGCAGCTTTGCAGCTCCAACTCAAGCCTGGAAAGTTTGCTACTACAGAACAATCGCCTGGATGGTGAGCACAATGTGTTTGCCTCCCTCCAAAGGTGTGCTCGTTTGAAGATGCTGGACGTGAGCTTCAACACGCTTGCCGGAGAACTCCCCAGCAGCCTATGCGAAAACCATCCGCAGCTCAGGCACCTGATCCTCTGGGCGAATAGCTTCGAAGGACAAATACCATCCGCTTTGGCCAAATGCAAAAACCTGGTCAACTTGATGCTGAGTTTCAATCGTTTCGAGGGAGAGGTTCCATCACAGCTCTCCGACCTGCAAGACCTGCAATGGTTGAGCTTGAGCAACAACAGGCTTAGTGGTGAGATACCTGCTGCGCTGGGACGCCTCCACAGGATGACCATACTCCAGCTAAGAGACAATCGCCTGCAAGGAGAGATTCCATCGGAGCTCGAGCAGTGCGAGAATTTGCTGGTGATAGACTTTGCCGGCAACTTGCTGAGTGGAAAAATCCCTGCTCGCATCGGCAAAAGCTCGAGTAGCGTCCTGACACTGGTACCTCAAGTAGAGAGAAACTTGGGAGAGTTGAGGTTCGTGATACCGGCGCTGAATCTTCCATCCTGCACTGGAGCGAGTGGAGTTTTCGGAGTCCAGGGAATTGCGCTGGAGGATTTTGAAGCATTGCTTGCCGCGAGAACCAGGTGTGATGCTCACGTCGGTTTCTTTCCCCCGGTTACTCTCGATCTCAGCAGCCCCATTTACTTGGACGTCTCGAACAACAACCTCACTGGAGAGATACCGCTCGAACTTGGCAGGATGGAGGATCTTATAGTCCTTGGTCTCGCCTACAATTCTCTCACAGGAGAAATCCCGACAGGCTTTGGAACCATCCGGAATCTGGACACGGTCGACATGTCGCACAATCTCCTCCAAGGTGGCATTCCGGGCGGCTTTGCGAGTCTTGGCACTCTCACCCGGCTCAACGTCTCGTATAACAACCTGTCTGGAATCGTTCCCCAGGGCCCCCAGACTGAAACTTTTATCCTCGATGGAAATCCCCGCCTGTGCAACCATCTCGAGGTCCCGGGCTGTGCCGCCCCGGTTGATGCCACGCCACAAAGTTTTTCACGGGGTGGCGACGATGGCTTCGGCGGCATCGTTGGGATGGGAGTTGCTCTTGGAGTCGTCGCATTTGTACCCAGCGCCATTCTGTCCTTCAGGTATTTCTCGCCACTGTTCTTCTAGAGTCCTTCGAAAAAGATTGGGTGCTTCCAATGGAGTGAATCAGGCATTGTCGGAATCTCCTAACGGCGGCCACTGTATGCCCGCATAGCTCTCAGCTCTTGCAGTTAAAACGCTGTCGATACGTATCAGAGGCTGCAAGCTTCACTCGTAAGCAGGACTACAAATTCTTACAAGCTTACGTGGTCGGTATTTTATTCACGTTGACCTGTAACATGAAATAAGTAGCAAGAATAAAATGGTAATATCAACACCTTATTAGACGCTTGCGTTGTCACGACTTTGTCTTCCTCGACCTTCCTTTGGAAACTTGTGAGGCGTTGAGCGGCAATGATGGCTTTTGTGTTGTTGAATTTTGCTGCCTAGGAAGAACGTTATGAAGATTCTTCCGAAGCCTTCCAATTGGTTGCTCAGCGCTCTGAGCCAGAACCGCGGTTGCAGTTACAAACTGCTTATTTGGTCTGAGGCTTATCTCTTCCAGAGCTGACGAACTGAAATTCAAAACGAAGTGAGGTATGTGTGCCTAAAACCTATAAACTAACCGAAACTGCAAGCTTTCGCTTACAACGTTGCGAAGCTTCGAGTCGCAGCCTCGTTCATGCTGCAATGGATCGTATAATTGCGCTTCCATCTAAAGAAATCGCAAAATAAGTACCGCTCCTTTCCCTTCCTTTTACCTTGGATAAAAACAAGCTGACCATGTCCCTCACATCGTCAGGCACGCTTGTTGCGGTGCGCATGGCTGGAGGAAAAGGCAGCAGCTCCTCATACGTGGCAATTCTCTAAGGTAGGAAACGTAGTTTATGGAGATAGATACGAAAACAAATGTTTACCTTGGCCAGGAGAGAGCCATTTTGTGATGGCAACAGAATGTAGAAACAGACGAACGAAGTAGGACATCCAGTTTCAATGTCGATGTCGGACTTACAGAGAAGGCCCGTGTCCTTAAGAGTGCAACTCTTGGCAAAGAGCTGCGAAGACTGGACAACAAACAGAGTTAGCAGATCCAAAAATGTAAAGTGCATGCTATGGTACCGTGATCATTGTTTGTTGAATCAGCCCCTCCAGAAGAAACTACCACGTACGGCATGCCAAATAGCACACTTTCACGATAGCAGCGCTAGATAGACGGAGCCAATTGCGTGGAAGCAAGCAGCTGCACCAGGCTCTGGAGGAGCAACCAGCAAAGGCATTTGCATTACCGTGTCCTCTCCAACTTGAAGACAGCTTCTTGCAGACATTTCTAAATTCAGGCCTGTCGGTGACATGGCGGTTCAATCTTACACTGCACGAGAGCGATTGTCCCGTCACAGGATGTGACCTGGATGAACATGATCTTGCGGTAAGAAAATATGATAGAACCTGGTTTTATCACGTCACGAAGTCGCAACATGGCGGGATAAAGCGTGCAAAAAATCTTCCTGGTAGAGTTGAGCAAAGGTGACTGGAAGCAAAGCACTCCTTCGAGTTACCCTTGGTCATCGGCTCCAAGTTCTTGCAGCCACTCTTTGACGAGGCGTGACATGTTTGCTGAATCTGACAAAAGCAATCAGAAATCAGGTTCATATTCGTATCATGGTGTCCACTATCCCTCTTCGCAAATCGCCCCATCACACATGGCTGCTCTGGGTCCATGCGAAAAGGAAAAGTTTGTCTAGCATTCCATCAACTTGTGAATGCCGCGATTGTCACAGACTTTGCAGATTGGGCACTGCTTGATACAATGTACGTGGAACTTGAGACTGCAATCGAACTCGCGCAGTTCTTCCTCCTTATTGCAAAATTCCCTCCAAGAAAAATCCAAAAAGAGATTACACTGGAGCTCGGCATCCCGAGCAAACATGCCCAAACTTCCACACCTTTGTAATCCATGAGCTAGCGAACCCCATCCTCTCTTCAAGCGCGAGAAACTCCTGAAAAGATTTCTCTCTTGTCGCACGAGAAACTCCTGAAAAGATTTCTCTCTTGTCGCCCGAGACCTAATGCACATACCTCGTAAGTCATATGTTGTCATTGCTCTGCTCTCCAAGGAACATTGAGGATATGATCCACATCCTCCTCTTCTTAATAGCAGGCGGGGCGAAGCATGTATCTATGCGCAAAGCAAATTATTGATTTGTGATCTTGCAAACTAGTGGAACACGGACTTTTGAAAGAAAAATGACTTCACCTTTTGACTTCCGCGTCGGAGAATGAGCGCGAGCAGTCACCCTTGACTTCAACAAAAGCGATGATGATTGATGTGGCTGATAAAAGAAACAAATTTGACACTGGGGTCACAAGTCACTTTACTCGGTTGTTTGGGAGAATGTTGCTCGCAATTCTCGTGCTTCTGTCACTGGCAGCTGCAAAAGGCGAAGATCGTGCAACGCTCTTGAGCTTTAAGAACCAGGTGAGCGATCCATTATCCACACTCAGTACCTGGAACACGAGTTCTGCCGTAGATTCGTGTCACTGGCATGGAGTCAACTGCTCCAGCTCGGGCCGGATCACTGGACTTGATCTTCAGTCACTATCACTGCCCAGGCCTGCTCTGCTGGATGCGATCCAAGACCTGTCCCATCTAGAGAAGCTCCACATCTCTCAGAGCAATTTCACCGGGTCGTCCACCAATCGTTCGCTACGAGGTTGCAACCTGGAAGCTCTCGACTTGTCTCAAAACAAGCTCACTGGCGATGATAATCTTCTGCTTCAGATCCTCGAGAACTGCGGCGGGACGATCAGAGCTCTCAACCTTTCTTCCAACGAGCTCACTGGCGATGATATGCTTGCCTTGCCCCTCTTCTCCCGGGAGAGGTCTTGCAACTTGACGCTCTTGGACGTCTCAAACAACCGGCTCGTCGGCGAGTTTCCTCCCAGGATCCTCTCCACTTGCGTTGATCTTCAAAAGGTCTTCCTGTCCAGCAACAATCTCTCTCAGATCGTTTTCCCCGGCTGCAAAAACCTGATTAGTATCAACATCTCGTTCAACCAGATATCGGGAGAGTTATTCGCTCCCGAAAGCAGATGTACCTCACTGAAAGTTCTCGCTATCGCTCGCAACGCCTTCTCCGGGGATTTCTTCTCGCTGTTTGGAGCAAGCCAGCGCTCGCACAACTCCAGCTTGAGCAGCTTCTTTCCCGTCGTTGAGAGGATCGATGCCGCCTACAACAAATTCACGGGTGAGGTTCCAGCGCATATTGGAGTGCTCACGAGGTACATGGATCTCAGCTCCAACAATCTCACCACCATAGGAAACCAGCAGCTTTGCAGCTCCAACTCAAGCCTGGAAAGTTTGCTCCTACAGAACAATCGCCTGGATGGTGAGCACAATGTGTTTGCCTCCCTCCAAAGGTGTGCTAGTTTGAAGATGCTGGACGTGAGCTTCAACACGCTTGCCGGAGAACTCCCCAGCAGCCTATGCGAAAACCATCCGCAGCTCAGGCACCTGATCCTCTGGGCGAATAGCTTCGAAGGACAAATACCATCCGCTTTGGCAAAATGCAAAAACCTGGTCAACTTGATGCTGAGTTTCAATCGTTTCGAGGGAGAGGTTCCATCACAGCTCTCCGACCTGCAAGACCTGCAATGGTTGAGCTTGAGCAACAACAGGCTTAGTGGTGAGATACCTGCTGCGCTGGGACGCCTCCACAGGATGACCATACTCCAGCTAAGAGACAATCGCCTGCAAGGAGAGATTCCATCAGAGCTCGAGCAGTGCGAGAATTTGCTGGTGATAGACTTTGCCGGCAACTTGCTGAGTGGAAATATCCCTGCTCGCATCGGCAAAAGCTCGAGTAGCGTCCTGACACTGGTACCTCGAGTAGAGAGAAACTTGGGAGAGTTGAGGTACGTGACACCGGCGCTGGCTCTTCCAACCTGCACTGGAGCGAGTGGAGTTTTCGGAGTCCAGGGAATTGCGCTGGAGGATTTTGAAGCATTGCTTGCCGCGAGAACCAGGTGTGATGCTCACGTCGGTTTCTTTCCCCCGGTTACTCTCGATCTCAGCAGCCCCATTTACTTGGACGTCTCGAACAACAACCTCACTGGAGAGATACCGCTTGAACTTGGCAGGATGGAGGATCTTATAGTCCTTGGTCTCGCCTACAATTCTCTCACAGGAGAAATCCCGACAGGCTTTGGAACCATCCCGACTCTGGACACGGTCGACATGTCGCACAATCTCCTCCAAGGTGGCATTCCGGGCGGCTTTGCGAGTCTCGGCACTCTCACCCGGCTCAACGTCTCGTATAACAACCTGTCTGGAATCGTTCCCCAGGGCCCCCAGACTGGAACTTTTATCCTCGATGGAAATCCCCGCCTGTGCAACCATCTCGAGGTCCCGGGCTGTGCCGCCCCGGTTGATGCCACGCCACAAAGTTTTTCACGGGGTGGCGACGATGGCTTCGGCGGCATCGTTGGGATGGGAGTTGCTCTTGGAGTCGTCGCATTTGTACCCAGCGCTATTCTGTCCTTCAGGTATTTATCCCCACTGTTCTTCTAGAGTCCTTCGAAAAAGATTGGGTGCTTCCAATGGAGTGAATCAGGCATTGTCGGAATCTCCTAACGGCGGCCACTGTATGCCCGCATAACTCTCAGCTCTTGCAGTTAAAACGCTGTCGATACGTATCAGTTGCTGCAAGCTTTACTCGTAAGCAGGACTATAATTCTTACAAGCTTACCTGGTCGGTATTTTATTCACGTTGACCTGTAACATGAAATAAGTAGCAAGAATAAAATGGTAATATCAACACCTTATTAGACGCTTGCGTTGTCACGACTTTGTCTTCCTCGACCTTCCTTTGGAAACTTGTGAGGCGTTGAGCGGCAATGATGGCTTTTGTGTTGTTGAATTTTGCTGCCTAGGAAGAACGTTATGAAGATTCTTCCGAAGCCTTCCAATTGGTTGCTCAGCGCTCTGAGCCAGAACCGCGGTTGCAGTTACAAACTGCTTATTTGGTCTGAGGCTTATCTCTTCCGGAGCTGACGAACTGAAATTCAAAACGAAGTGAGGTATGTGTGCCTAAAACCTATAAACTAACCGAAACTGCAAGCTTTCGCTTACAACGTTGCTAAGCTTCGAGTCGCAGCCTCGTTCATGCTGCAATGGATCGTATGATTGCGCTTCCATCTAAAGAAATCGCAAAATAAGTACCGCTCCTTTCCCTTCCTTTTACCTTGGATAAAGACAAGCTGACCATGTCCCTCACATCGTCAGGCACGCTTGTTGGGGTGCGCATGGCTGGAGGAAACGGCAGCAGCTCCTCAGACGTGGCAATTCTCTAAGGTGGGAAACGTAGTTTATGGGGATAGATACGAAAACAAATGTTTACCTTGGCCAGGAGAGAGCCATTTTGTGATGGCAACAGAATGTAGAAACAGATGAACGAAGTAGGACATCCAGTTTCAATGTCGGTGTCGGACTTACAGAGAAGGCCCGTGTCCTTAGAGTGCAACTCTTGGCAAAGAGCTGCGAAGACTGGACAACAGACAGAGTTAGCAGATCTAAAAATGTAAAGTGCATGCTATGGTACCGTGATCATTGTTTGTTGAAACAGCCCCTCCAGGATTTAGTTCAATGTCGGCCTCCGAAGAAGAAACCACCACGTACGGCATGCCAAATAGCACACTTTCACTAAGCAGCGCTAGATAGACGGAGCCAATTACGTGGAAGTAAGCAGCTGCACCAGGCTCTGGAGGAGCAACCAGCGAAGGCATTTGCATTACCGTGTCCTCTCCAACTTGAAGACAGCTTCTTGCAAGATCATGGTCATCCAGGTCACTTCCTGTGACGGGACAAATCGCTCTCTTGCAGTGTAAGATTGAACCGAGCGGTAATCCATGGCACCGACAGGCCTGAATTTGTAAATGTCAGGTAAGAAAATATGATAGAACCTCGGAAACAGACCTGGCATGGTTTTATCACGTCATGAAGTCGCAACACGGCGGGATAAAGCGTGCAAAAAATCTTCCTGGTAGAGTTGAGCAAAGGTGACTGGAAGCAAAGCACTCCTTCGAGTGACCCTTCGTCATCGGTTCCAAGTTCTTGCAGCCACTCTTTGACGAGACGTGACATGTTTGCTGAATCTGGCAAAAGCAATCAGAAACACCATGAGCACGCAAAGGGAGCCATTTTGCAACGAACTCCATTGCAGTCTCTGAAAGGTGCAGTTCTCGAACTCCGTGATATCGACATGAAATTCTCCTGTGAGCTTGGGCTGAGGGTACAGGCATTGGTCGTTGGTATGATCGGAGAGGTCGAGCTCGATGAAGTCAATCATGATGCATCTGGCCGCTGCTTCCTGCAAAACACAAAGAGTGATTTCATCCAAGTTACTAGCTACGTATTTGGAGTAGGACTTACGAGAATTGCCTGTCTAAAGGATGCAGCGGGCTCACAGAAACAATTGGTGATCACGACAATTCTCTTGGTTGCTGTTTCTGGCGACCACTGACTTGAAAGTAGAGAAGACAAGCTTGACACTGGAACGATCGAATCGAGTTGTTAGTTAGTGAAACGAAAAGTGTTATGTCCGTTTACCTTGTCCAGTTCCTTCTTGGGACATCGCAGAAGCAGCCGTGAGACCATTCACAACAGCGTAGTGGAAATCTCTGTAGCTGAAAGGCGCTCGGGGCTCAAAGACAATCTCCAGCTGAAAGTCAAGAGGGATCCATGAGAAAGGTAAAGACTAAGAGATCCATACCTTGTAAGATTCCTCCCCCGGATCGAATTTGATGGCGCACAAGCCTATGCTCTCGATCGCCGGCAGCGCGCCGCTCCGGTGTGATCGCAACACCGCTAGATTGGCAAGCCGCAACAGGCACTGAATCGATCAAGATCAGCCAAGCCAATGCCAATGCAGGCCTGCATGGCGATCGTACCTGCTGGATCGATCCAAGAACAGCGCCCTGGAGGCGCGAGGCGTCGACGACGAAGCAGAGAAGTGCCATAATATTGTAAAGCCCTAACCCTCAAAACGTTTAAAGTAGGTTTCTAGGTTTAACACTTGTCTGGTTCTTGATGCAATAGAAAAGCGTGAGATCAAATGCAGGATCTACGCAAGGAACATGACGAGCGGCAACCAACTTTGCTTGGAAAAGGTCTTGTTTCGATCCGGGCGACTTACATTTTGCTCTACAATACAGTGGCCACATAGAACAGAGTGGGAAAAAGATAGACCTATGCACCTTGGGACAAGTTACGTGAAGATTTTCCTGGCTACCGGAGCAACGAGGCCTTTAAAATGCTACTCGAAAGAAAGCAAACTACTCGCTTCATGAATGGATGTTTCCTGCGAAGATAATCCGAAAGGTTTTGAGATGAAGGAACAAACATACCTTGGTTAGACACGACGAGCTTGACGCTGTGAAGCTCGTCACAGAAGCGTCGAGCAGCGATCATCTCCTTGGTCCCTGTAAAAACAGATCACCATGAAAAATTGAATTGCATTGTTTCTTAGAAATCGTCGGAGAAGATCTAAAGCAGTCAGGGCTGTTAGGGTGGTGACTGGATATGGATTCCGGTCACCCTGAAAACGATAGAATCAACATGTTTCCCCTCCCCTCTTCCCTTTCCCCCCGCGCCCCTCCAAGAACCTAGGATCCGATTCATCACCCTCGCAACCTAAAGATCGATCAATCTCGCTGCCGCTTCGCTCTCTCGATCGACACCGCCCCCGATCAATCTTGGGTTTGCGCGCTCGAGGGTACCTCCCCGCCACTCTATTTTTATTCTGCTTAGTGTTCCCGGGTCTGCTTTTCTCGCTTCCTCGTCGCTCATCTCCCGCCGCCAAAGGTTTTGCCTTTGTTGATTTAATATTATTAATGTAATATATAGACCGCCACCCATTCGATTTTGTGGATAGGAAGGTGATTGGGAAGTCGGGAGGCTCAGAGAGGCTGCGGCGGAAGTCTGAGGATTTTTTCGCCACTCCGCCTAATTCGTCCACAACATGAGATCTTTGGCTGGCATTTTGTCAAAGGTTGATTTCCCTGCCACAATTTGCCCCTGGTGCGTGTGTGCTGTTATCATCAAGTCAACCATAGACTCACAGTCACGGATCTGGGATCAAGGATGCCACCACATATGCAATGATCGACTAGGAACAAAATACAACTTTATTGAAATGCATATCAACAACATTTTCCAGTTTCTCGAGATTTTTTCAACTCTTGCATGAGCCCTGGTACATCATTGATCCTCTGGAATACCGATCTTTTCCGCCAACTTAACCGTCTCCCCTCTCCTATAATACGCATTGTAAAAAAAAAAACTCACGTCGCGAGGAGTCCATTTCGTCACCTCCCGACCCACCAAGGTTTTCAGCATCCCTTTGTAAAACAGCCGCGAGCTCGCCGTCAGCTTCTGGTCTAGACGAAAACCTGACATCCTTTGTCCCTAAAACTCATGCGAATAAACAATAAAAACAGATCAAATTGAAACTCTATACCCATGGATCGATGAAAAGCCTGCCCACTGGATACCTCCCATCTGGGATCTTCATCTCTTGACCATAAAGATTCGCCTTCCATTCCGCAAATTTCTTCCGGATCATTCTCCGATGTGGTGGCACACTCCCCGGGACGGTCAAAGAAAGAGCTTCTCTCTTCGTCAGAGGAAAACCTAGATCGAGTTAGGAGACGAATATTCTGTTCTGCACTTACAAGCCAGACTCTCGTTTTCCACTTGAAGAAACTCGTGGATTTCGACATACCCGTAGTACCATCTCACCGTGCCCCACACCTGGATGCAAACTGCTCCCTTCGTTCTAGAGCCAGGTTTTTCATCACAACAGCAGCCAGCTGATAGACATTCTCACTACTGCAGCAAATGTTTTCATGTCAAGAGCTTTGAGCTATTTGGTTTCTTATGTACCTTCCACTGGTGCTGTTCTTGAGGTCCACCGCCACCCGCAGTTCCTCGCAAAAGCCCCAGTAAACTTTGACGAAAACATTGGAGTGCCTGTGCTGCAGGCTAGTCGGGTCTTCTACATCGTCATCGTCTTCTGCAAAAAGATCTGGAGTCTCTTTGGCATAGCCCATGACAAAGTCGGAGCTGCGCAATGGCATCAGATCTACATTAGTACGTACGTTTCTGTAACGGTTCTTACCTTGCATCTGTCTTGTTCATTCGCCGGACTGAAAGCATCAATGGATAAGTAGCAGCCAACAAAAGAAAGAAACCCTCACCCTCGGCGGCCTCTTTTTCACTCGCTCCATCCTCCTTCAAGGATTCTTCCAAATCTTTATCATCGCTCGCGTTGAGCATACCAAAAGCAAGTTTGGGCAATGGCGACGTAAACTCCCGGAATGTAGTCATCAGAAGCTCTTGGATGCCCTGCAGTTTACTTTCGCCAAAAGGATCAGCTCGGAGAATGGGCATTTCAAGAGGCCGTTCACAAGATCCTACGCAAGATCATTGTCTAATGGATAGCTCTCATGCAAGTTTACATCAACATGGCCCCCACCAGGAGCATGTTGGAGAGCATGAAAATGTACATCTTGGTTTCCTGGATGCCCATGGTCTGAGCAGTGGAACTCTTCCAGCTTATGAATCCTGAGCTGGACTAGGTGACATTCCAGAGCATTGTAACTTTGTGTGGCCATGTCAGTCTAGCCAAGCTGAGAACACTTCATCTTGATCAGCCAAGCCTTTGGGATGGTGCTGAGGAGAGGGCACTCTATATTTGCCTGATCAACATCTTGGGCAGATCCAGGAGAACTCTGAGTGCTAAGGAGCTTGTCAACTTAATGCTATTCCTTTGAGATGTCATGATTTTGATGTCACTATTGGGAGTTTCTCTCCTCCATCATAGATTGTGCTAAGAGAGTGTAAGTTATAATTTTTTCTTTCCAATTTGCTAGTTTATTTTATTTATTCGACCACTACAGTTTTGGCTTTAGTTAAGTTCCCTCGCCAAAGTTCTCATCTATTGTACCAATTTCTATTTGGTTTCAGCAATTCATTGTACAAGCAACGAAGCATTAACCATCTATCTAGGGATTCCTAAATTCTCTCATAATCCCTTTCCTTAGGTTAGACTGGATTTAAAGTTCGACTACACTTCTTATAGGCATAAGCAGTTAAGCACACCAAGCCTCCAGGTCCTTAACATCCCTTAATACAACAAGATTTAATCATGAAACCCTTTAAATTCTAAACTTTAGGTGTAATATTTGCTTCGGGGTGTTGGGGGGAAACACTATGGCTTAACTGCCTAGTATAGATGTAGCGTATGTAATCATGGGATGAGATTTGGATATACTGTCACTGTGAATCCTTAGAACCTTGGGAGATAAATGGGGATAAAATAGCCACTAAAGGCTTTTTTATCAAGTAATTGCCCCTTTTTCAGTTGGTTTAAGGGGAGAGAAATAAAGTGCGTTACATGTGGTATTAGAGCAAATGGCATAGGTTCGATTCCCATTAATTAGTGGCTACTAAAAAATATAATATACCCTTAAGCAAGGTATATTCCTACCCTAAATTTGAAATTGTACATATTGGGCATCCATGTGTATGTCCTTCCTCTTGGTGGAGCACAAAGTACTTAAGTGGGGCACCACTCTATATGAAGACCAATGAGCCACAAAGCACAAAGTACTTAAGTGGGGCATCACTCTATATGAAGACCAATGAGCCACAAAGTACTTAAGTGGGGCACCACTTTATATGAGTCAAAAGCATTGTAGTTGGTTTCCTTTTCGGGAGTGAGAGTTACTCTTAAGCACTTCCTTGGGTGGCCCTTCCAGCACCACCCGAACCCATGCTTACTCCCACCTAAGGCCCCTAAGCTTTAATCTTAACCTCAAGTCAGTTTGGAAGCACAATTGGAGAGTTCCTTCAAGATTGATTCTTAGACCTTACTATCCCTACTATACTTTTGGAACCCCCTATAGCCATGGAGACACACGCTTTGGGCTTTCACTCCATGACCTATATTAGTATTTAGACTCGTTCTTAGACTCAATCTTGGACTCAACCTTAGACTCGGTCTCACACTCGATCTCGGATTCGATTTCAGACCCAACCTCGGACTTGATCTTGAACTTGATCTCGAACTCGGTCTCAGACCCAATCTTGGATCTCGGACTTAGTCTCAAACTTGGTCTTTGACTTGGTCTCGCACTTGGTCTCGGAGCTGGTCTCAAACTTGATCTTAGATTTGGTATTAAATTCAGTCTAAAAGTCGGTCTCGGATTCAATTTCGGACTTAGTCTCATTTGATAAATTTTTTATCATTTCAATCGTGCTTTTGGGGATCCTTTAGCCTATGACACTTTGGAGAGTTGGTTCCTTACAAAGAGTCATAGTAAAGATCTTTGAGAGCACTGGAGACTGGATGCACGATTGCCTACATTGTTCTCTCAAATATATACTTGTTAATCAGGAGGTGGGACAAGGTTTTGATGAGTTGAGATAAGTTTAAGAGTGATTTATAAGGGTTTAAGTATAAAGGGAAAAGGCCCATGAATAAAAGTGCACCCTTTTTCCCAATTAGTTAAGGGTCTTGAAATATTTAAGGTTAATGGTCTTTGAGTTTAAGTAATACTAAGTTGGGCTTTCCAAAAAGTTTAAATTCAAAAGTTTATAATTTGGTAAGAAGGTCCGGATCAATGAAATAATCAAGATTCTAACTGAAGAATTCACGATCAAACACAAAGCTTTAACATCATACTACTCTCAAATTTACAAATAAAACACTTAAAAAGATTATGAAAACAAATTAAAAAGATTGGGATGAATGCACCTTTAGTGCTCTTTGGGCATACTAAATAGTTTATATGGTTTCAATAAACTCAATACTATTCAAGCTTGCTTATGATGTAAAAGCTTTAACTCCACTCGAACACATTGTTCCTTTATTGCAAATGTGTGAGACACAAATCCCAAAGCCTCAAAAGTGGAGTTGAAAGGGTGCCATGTGGCAGTGGCCGAAGTGGAAGCCAAATGGGAATAACACGTTTGGAATAAAAATTCTGATTCGAAAAGTCGAGAGTGGGAGTGGAACTCCCAACGAAGGGCTCGAGGAACGAGCATGAAGCAAGTAACAAGTGAGTCCTTAGAAAAGGGACAAGAGGACCAACACATGACATGTGGAAGTGTCAAAGAAGGAGTCTAAGGAGGAGTCCAAGATGGACCTGAGATGGAGTTCAAGATGGAGTTCGAGATGGACCTAAGATGGAGTCCAAAATGGAGTCTGAGATGGACTCGAGATGGAGTCCGAGATGGAGTTTGAGATGGACCTGAGATGGAGTTCGAGATAGACCCGAGATGGAGTCCGAGATGGACCTGAGATGGAGTCCGAGATGGACCTGAGATGGAGTCCGAGATGGAGTTCGAGATGAAACCAAGATGGAGTCTGAGATGGAGCCTAGATAGAGTCCAAGATGGACCCGAGATAGAGTCCGAGATGGAGTTCAAGATGGAGTCCAAGATGGAACTAAGACAGAGACCGAGACCAAGACCAAGACCGAAACTGAGTCTGAGTCTGAATACTAATACAGGCTGTTGGGTGAAAGCCCAAAGTGATCATCCGGGGGGGGGAGCTAAAGGGGGTTCCAAAAGTATAGTTGGGCCAAAGTGATCATCCGGGGGGGGGAGCTACAGGGGGTTCCAAAAGTATAGTTGGGAGAGTGTGGGGGTTCGACCCTAGTGGAGCCAGTTTGGCCAGGAAAGGCCAGTTTGGCCCAAGAAGGCCATGCTCAACTATTGGGTGATGAGATAACCATTGGGAAGTCCAAGGCTAGAGTGAATATGGACAAACAAGTAGGGTAGCTTAGTGAAGTGTTCAAGAGCCGACTCTAGTTCCCCCGAGAGATCAAATGGTTAATGCTCCCAGTCTAAGCATGGGTGGGACTATGTACTTGGATACTTGGTGTGGCTCAGCAAAACCTTGCTTTAAACCCATAGCTAGAGAACCCAAAGGCGGAAGGTGGGGAGAGTACCATGAGACTCACATAGGGCCATAGTATTTCGAAATGTTATCCCATAGTCTCAAACTATGGAAAGGAAGAAGAGTAGCCCTCTAGAGTGGCAACCAAGGATACAGCCACATGGTGAGGAAGTCTTAGAAGACAGTAGGACTTGGTGGTTGGGGCTATAGGCCTTGATTTAGTGGTAGTGTTGGCGAATACAGCCATAGACAGAAAGGGACTTGGTAGGGACCGAAAAAGGGATATTATAGAGGCTGTTTCCCATATTTGTGAGCATCCTAAGGATGCTAAGGAGTGGATCTAGAATGATCACTCTTGGATGGATGGCCTAGTATGTGAAAGACGGGATTGTGATATAGGTGGTGTTGGACCACCGGTGTGACCAAGATGAATAGGCGTGGCCTTAGTGTAACAGGCTGATATGTTAGTGGTACCTTGGGGTGTTGGTTGTGGGATCTAACACGTGGAGCACTTGGACCAAGTGCAAAGGTTGAGTGGCATGGATGCCATTCTCAGGGCTAACAAGCCCCAAGTCTTGAATTAGACTTATGGAGGTTGTGAATGAGACTCTTCCAAGTGGTTGGAGGTGTGGTTAAGTGACTAAAGTAGAATGGAAAAATTAGTTGTTTACAATTTGGTATTGGAGTTGTTCCTTAGTCTGACTTTTATTGGTGCTCAAGTATATCACTACTGGTGTTGGCATTGCAAGATCCTAGAAGTGGGGTTATCCTTGAGGAGTAGCAGGTTAAGAAGACATGGCTCTCCACTACAGTTCATGTGTGAACTTGTAGGCGAGATGGTGGATAGAAAGGGGCCAATAATGAAATGACTTTGGGATCTTGGGAACAGTATAAAGTTTTCCTTAGAGAGTTGAGGATGTGATCTAGATGAGCATTTGATTTAGCAAATTGGCTATTGTAGTTGTGGTAAACAACTGTAGTTGGGATCACGGAAAAGATAAAGACTCCAAAACAGTAAAGGAGTCACAAAATTATCCTCAAATTGAGGGTGGTGCTCATAAATTTGAAACCAGAATTAATGACTATGTGAGGTCAAATACGGATGAGGACACAAGTCCTTGAAATAGTAGCCAGGGCTACCCTTAATAAATGATAGTTTAACCCAAGGGATTGGGGGTGTACTTAGAGGATGAGTTGGTATTTTCATCACATGGACAAATAGTCATAAGGGGCAAAAGTAGCCCATATGGAATAAAAAATAATCAAGTGTCGGAGTAGCATTTGCAAAAATGGTCTTTATAAATAGGACATGAATACAAAAAGTTGTATTCTAATGAGCTGACACCTCAAAAATAAGACCTTATAAGTCACCAGATTAATGAAGTCCAAAAAGCTAGATGACTCAAATGGAGTCAAGGAATGGTCCTAAAGAATGAATGGAAGCATTTGGACTGAGGTGTGTTGTACCCCCGAAGGATGGGGAAGATCATGAAATCCAAGTATGAGAACAATGGGTATCTCATTGATGGCAGAATGTGCCATACTAAAGTCGTGGGAAAGGTATTTCCAAAGCAAAACAACTTTGACACAAAGTTGTGTGTAAACACTATGATGTAGTGCTAACG